GCTATAGAGCATAATGTTGAAGTAAAAAACCAACACAAAAACATATTTTTTTGCATTTTTTAAATTCAGCATAACATCTCCATCATATGAACCAATAGTAAAAACGTTCTTATACCGATTAAATGGCCGCCATGCACTAAAAAACACAACCACAATTTCTTTGTAAACTATGTAGTAACTTCCCAGTTTTTTTATAAGTATATATCTTTATATCGAGTATATTTAATTGTAAAATGGATAAATTGTGTTCGCTTCGATTAATGAGTAGGCTTCTAATGCAAATGAGATCATATACTTTTACGTAACATCTATCTTCAGTAAAAATGCGTTTTATTTCATTATTATTATTATTTATTTTATATTATCTAATTCAACAGAGCCTTAAAGACGGTCTTCCCAAATAAACGTAGTATGACTTTGACACGATCTCAATTCACTGGAACTGGACACGTTGCTGGCCATTGGTCTGGGGATAACCAAAGCCAATGGAGACAGATCCCTTGGTCCATTATAGGTAGGCGTCAACGACTATTTACATACTCCGTGTATTCCCGTTTTGAACATAACTGTGGGAATAACAGAAGCCTACAATGATTTTTTTTATTTTTTTAGTAGTGATGTTTTCTCTTTGTTTACAGCGATGTTGGAATATTCTCTGTTCGGATTTCCTTACGTAAGTGTGATAATACCATGAACAGTTTATTTTATTTGTCTACCTGGTTAAATAGGTTTCAATTCGTGTCATGCATTAATGACAATTTGACATTAGCTCATCCATCCATAATTGGAAGAGCGCCATCACATGACTCAATTTTAAAGAGTACATATAGGGTATACGTATGTCCTTGTTATGGTAGCCTGTTAATGTTCATACGGCCCCCAAACCACAGGTCAGAATCATAGATATTTTTTCATAACATACATACCAGTATTACTGTATTCACAACTTTGATTTTCCGTTCTATCAGATGGGCTCGGATATTTGCGGGTTTTGGTACAACACCACCGAGTCAATGTGTCAACGATGGCACCAACTTGGAGCATTCTATCCATATTCAAGGAACCACAATGCTGACGGATGGACGGTAAATATAATAATCGCCTATTGCGCATTCCCATCTCTCAGTCATACAACTAAACGGTCTACTTCAAGTAAGAATACGTTCTGAGAATACGCTCAATAACTCTTACACTAAACACAGCAATAAGTACCCATTTGATGTAGTAGTGAATAACACAAATACACACACACGTAGTCATCGAAAGTCATGATCATAGTATTTAACATACTAAAGAAAATAGCTGATGTTCTAAAACACTCAATGATCAAGAATAATAAACATACAAAGGACAACAGTACTAAAGACAATAAAAATGTTACAACATATAAAGACAATGTCGAAGAAATGAAATTTCTTTTCTTTTCTTTCCTTTCAGCATCAACATCCAACTGTTTGGAGTGATGACGTCATTGACAACATCAGATACATTCTTCTAGAACGATACAAACTGTTGCCATTCTTATATACCCTGTTTTTCCGTGCTTACACTGAAGGATCGACCGTGGTGCGACCGTTTGCACATGAGTAGGTTTTTGTTTTATTTGCGTTGATTTGTCTGTAATTTAGTAAGACAATTCCCATTTATGTGTTTAAATATTGTTATCACGTACAATGGTGTATACGTACAAGTGCAAATAAATGTGTGTATCGGTATATTTCAGGTTTCCAACTGATAAGCAAAGTCTGGTTGTAGAGACGCAGTTTTTATGGGGACCGTGTTTTATGGTGACTCCAGTCATGAAAGAGGTAATTGTTTTAAATTAACTAAACTACACTACAGCCACAGCTTCGCATCCCATCACTCCAGCTGTCCACACTCTTCGACACACTACACTATTGTATAATGTGAACAAATGACTTACAATAAAAGATCTCCTGTCGTCTACTTGTCATAGGGTGCTGTCACTGTTGATGCGTATTTCCCCCGTGATCGCTGGTTTAACTATTACACGGTGAGACCCACTTTATTAATTCTTAGAACGATTCAAACTCAACGCACTGGTTATGGAAATATCGTGTAAATCTTTAAATATGTGTTTTGTTAAGTTATAATTGTTCTGTTTATTGACAATATTCAGGGAGAGGAAATACCCGAGGCAAATCGTGGTACAACAGTCACACTGGATGCGCCGATGGACTACATTCCTCTGCATGTGAGGGGTGGTTACGTCATCCCGACACAGGAACCAAATACAACAACCACGCTTAGGTCTGTTCTATAAACACATTCGATCCGTCCACGTACCTTTTCATCTCGTGTACGCATTGTGCATATTGTCAAATATTATTATAAATGTTTTGTCATCATATTTAGTCGTCAGAACTCGTTTGGAATGATAGTAGCGCTCGGAAGTGGACAGCTGAACGAGGCTACAGGAAGTCTGTTTTGGGACGACGGTGACTCACGAGGTATTGTAATGTTGGGTTATCAAAACTATATACATAATTCAATTGTTTATATAAGCACAATAATATATGTTCTAAATGTCTAATTTATGTTTCATTCATAAATTTATGTTTATTTTGACAGAAACAATTGAAAACGGTACATATACGCTGATTTCATTTTCTGCCACCAACGTAAGCAATTATTATAATTTATTTGTTAATCGATAATGTTCTCACATTGAAATGAAGCTATTAGATCATTTAAATTTATTTTCGCAGGGTAATGTTGATATTACGGTAGAGAAGACGGGATATACGATGTATCTCACTGATTTGAGTTGGAACACTCTCAGAGTGTTTGGTCTACAAGACAAACCGACTGAAGTTTTTGCTGACGGTGTCTCAGTGGCGTTTGAATATAATTCAGAATTAAAGGTACATATATAATTAAATTCAATTGATTGATAATTGACAATATCGCCGTACCGTTTACATACAATTCAACACTGAAGGTAGGGAGGGATACAGTGACTCATACTCTCTATGTCGAGACAAAAGTACTAGTCAGAATCCAAATAAGTTCTTCCTCAAGTGCAGTACGTTTTTTTTTCAGTTTTCCTTTCCAGTGTTTTCCGAGATACCTTACCTATACCTACATTTTTCTGTTATGTAAATGAGAATCGAAGAGATAGTACTAGTACGCAAAAATGGATATTGTTTAATGTATAGAATAAAGGAGATTAACATAATGCGACCACCCATGTAGAATCACCCACAGAATCGCTTTTGTTGGCTAGAGAAGAAGTAGTTACCCACATACATTTGACGCCATGTTCCAAATCAAGGCTTACGTATAAAAAAGAATTACCCTAAAATATACTATATACATATCTTTGCAGGTAATGGAGGTAAATGAACTTGGAATGAAAGATGTTACTGCTAACCATCAAGTGACATGGTCTTAACAATTAATCGCAATTGTTGGGTTATATTATGAAAAAAAGAACCAATAACCGTTTTATTTTATACGGTCTCATTGATAGTTGATTATAGGAGAGATGACAATAGTTAAATAAATAAATAAATAAATAAATAAATAAATAAATAAATAAATAAATAAATAAATAAATAAATAAATAAATAAATAAATAAATAAATAAATAAATAAATAAATAAATAAATAAATAAAT